GAAAAAATTCAAAAAATGCCTTAATTTATTGTTAATGAGAATAAGATACAGTCATTCAAGTAAGTAAACAAGTATGAAATGAAAGTAAGTCGATCTGATCGTTTCCTACAAGTGCTCAAGACGAGAAATTTACAAAAGAAAGCAATTGTTGAAACAAATCAATAAAAAAATCTTGATTTTTAAGCTAAAAATGAGCTCATGATTAATATAAACTGATAACATTGACTTTAAGGAATAGAAAGAGAAAGACAGAATAGACATTCTTTTGGTTTGAATTACTTCATTATATTAAGTGTGTAGATAAATTGTATTACATGTTGCAATAATGAAGGAAGCAATCAAAGAAAAATAAGCTAATGATCATAGTATTCAATTAAGAATTAGAAAGTTTAGAGACGATTACAAATTGAATAAAGAGAATCTTAGTTATTGAACAGTTGGATGAACGATGATGGCTCTGACTATGGTCTGTAGGTAATCAAAGAGAAGGATCATTTATAATTCATTAATTCTTTTTTTACCACTACTGAAATAATGAGCCAATTTATAAATGTTTAAGAAGAAGGCTCTGATTCCAAATGTGAAATTATAATTGTTTAGAGTCAATTTAAATTAATTTGTAAAGAATGTGAGAGAATACAAAGCAAGAATGATTTAGAAATGTGATTAATATACAATGAAAATTCACCAATATTCTTCTTTGCATAAAACTGATAAGAGATTTATAACTTGGGTTAGAATTATGCATGAGAAAGGATACTAAATATATTTTTAGAATATATTCATTACTTTATTGATGAGAAATAGATATCGATCTCATATTAAATAGTATAGAGAAATCATGAATTATAAAAAGGAAATGACAACTGCAAAGTTGCAATTAAAATTAGCCAGGGAAACAGTGAACATGTTGATTCTGAAAAAGAGAATAATTAAATTAAGTAAGCATATATATTCAATGCAACTCAAGAATCAATTTTATTTTGGAATGATAAGATTTTGCAAAAAATTTGAAAAATAAATTTTATACACTAAGTAGATAGAAAATGAAGTAATTTTTGAAGACAATTAATTCTTTTATTCTTCAAAAATAAGGAATGTCATTTTTGATTTATCAGCATAAAATCATTTAGANACAAATATGCAAAATTATTAAACAACAAATAATGAAATTATTTATATAACAACTGAGGGAAACTTTATAAGAATATAAATTATAATTATACTTTTAGCGATATCAATTTAATGAAACTATTGATAAATTGATATATTGATTAATTTAAGCAAATCAAAAACTTAAAATTGATTGGAGAATAAATAAATCAAAAGAAAATGGGTCTCTATTTGGAACAGACAGACTCTAAGAAAAGTAAGAGGATAGTATAATCGATTGTCTAATAAAAATACTACACAATGGAGATGGGGAAAAGTAAGGATAATGGTATGGAATAAAAAGAAATTATAGGGAGTAATGATATAGATATAATAATTAGAAAAGCTAAAATTTTTCAGATTGGATAATATGTAAACAATAAAAGGATAGGATTTTGGAGATATTAGGATTGAAATTAAAATAATATAGACTATTTTATTATCTAAATTTCGAAAGTGGAGACTGATTTTATGATAATTTGAAGATTGGCTTGTGGTTAGATTTAAGTTCTAATTATTTTGAGTAATTATTGAACATAAATTAATTAGTCAGAATAAAAGTCACTTATTTAGGAGAATAGAATAAAGATAAAAAATCAAGGGGATGGAAAATCTATAATAATAATAGCGTAATGTAGAAATTTATTATTAACTTAGTAGAGGCGGTTAATATGACAGAATGGGTTAGATAATAGGGTTGATTTATTTGAAAATTTCTACAAGTAAGTTTTATGAAAATTAATATTAGAGAGAGTTAAATCACTTTTAGTTGGTCTATGTAAATGGTAAACAATAGGGAAGATGGGATATTTATTTTAGAGATAAGAGTGACATTCAATTTAAATTAATGTAATGTTTTTTATATGAATTATTTTAAGTGGATGTGGAATGTATGACCAAAAAGGATTGAAAAATGGCAAATTGTTAGATCTTATATTTAAATTTTTATTAGTATTATTTTTTTTTAATTAGTAGGAAATAATTCATTTTAAAGACTGAATATTAAAATAGAAAAAATTGGGTAAATGGGAGGTTTATTTGAAATACTCATTTTAATCTTTTTAATTAATTTATTCAAATTAAATTTATGGATTATATAATAATGATGATTTAAAAAATGGGAAGTGGGTTGATCTAAGTCTTAATTTTGACAAGTTTATAATTCTATTAAATTTACAGTATCATTCAATTCATTAATTATGGTGATTATAAGAATGGCAGAAAAATGGCTTATGGTTTAAAATGAGGAAAAATAACAGTAAAGAAGAGTTTACAAAAAAGTATGTTCTATTTTCACTCTGATATTCTTACTTATCATGAAGTATCCTAATGCAAAATTAAAGTTAAAATCAAGAATAATAAGCAATAATTTATTATTACAATTTATCAAATAATTTAATTGATGAATATTTTTGATATTATTGATTTTCTATTCACTATTTAAAAAAAAATTAATCGTTAAATTTAATTTTTATAATCAATATAGGTAATAGAATATTTTATTTTATTCTATTATTTTATAGACTAATACATAAGCATTCTTTAATTTTAATAAATACCTTAATGAGTAATAATGTGAAAAATATTGCTAATAACTCAAATTTTGTTGTTTCTAATAATAATCATCAACAAAATGTTAATTACCATTATCAATAATAACAATAATAGCAGAAGCAATTTAATTAACAAGAAGAATAAGCCTTAATATTATTCTATATTTATGAAGACTTTTAAAACTTTCTTAATCTCTTATATTAATTTATAATAGTAAAAGAATAATTCAAAACTGATCCTCAAAACATTCTAGTTTCAATTTGTGAAAATAAACTAATTACACAAATGAATCTATCTAATTCTATCCATTATGATTTATCAAAGAATTAAAAAAATTCTGATCTGATATCATTTTTAAAAAAAAATAAAAATGATATAAAAAAAAATATCCGAAGTGTATGCCCTACTAAATGTGATAAGGAAATTGATAAGTATATTCAATATTATGAGAATATTTGCTTAAGTGAGAATGTACAAATATACAATATGGAATTAATACCCACCCAATTAAAAGTAAATTTTAATGAAGAAGTTTTATAAAAAATATTCCCTTAGATTTAAGCCAAGTACAATAATTCAACTAAAGAAGATAAACCTAAAATTACAAACTTACCAAGGTTATACTAAATTAAATCTAATTCATAGTAAATAATAATAATATCAATTTAGTTAATATTAACAAGACACCTTTCTAAAAACTGAAAATTTAAAGTTCTAATAAGTTAAAAAAAGAGAATTTATAAATTGATTATTTTACAATTTGATTATTTAAAATTATTAGAGAAGTAAGAATAAACATCTACTTACAATTAGGACATTTTTTAATCAAAAAATGGGTTACATGGCAAAATTCAAGAATATTATTCCTTTATTTTTGGAATAAATTTTCTAAGGATTTTTATGAAATGTACTTGCTGATACACAAGAATGTTTAGATTGCTAAATTAAAAGAGATTTTGTATCAACTAATAGAACAAATAATTGTTAAAAATTGTAGAATTCAAAGCTAACACTAAATCTTTGAAATCAATAAAGAGAGAATTTTATTACTATTTTAATTTTTTATATTCATAGAATTGAACATTATGTTTCAAAAAAGCTTATAAATCAGCATGATGATTAAAAAAATGCTAATATTAGTTCAATAAAAGTATAAGTTTGTAAGAACTACATGTAGAGACAAATTTGTATTTTTATTTTGATTGTTCCTACAAAATATCAATATTGTCATCTTATAATTTATGAATCATTTATATTATTATATATTCTCCCAATCAAATAAAAATGATTTATCAAACTAAATTAAAATCTAATATATCTAATTTTTCTAAACTAACATATGTTAATTCTATGCTTTCTATAGATTCTATTAATCAAAGCAAGTGACTAAACTATGAAATCATTAGAATTTATCCTTATTTCGGCCATTGAAATTGCCAAAAATTATTTCATATAATTATCCACCTTTTCAAATTTGAACAGATGCTTCAAATTTTATAAATTTTTCTGTTTTTCTGTTTAATAGATTCAAATTTATCCTTAAATCTTTCAAGAAAAATATCAATTATCAATTATTGAAAATACTTTAAAATTAAAAACTTATATTTCCACCCACCCATATGAGATTTTGATTTATTTTTATTCTTTATTAATCCTACCTTATTAAGTTTTTCAACGACACCATTGATTTTACTTTCCCCTTATGTGTTATTATTAAGATAACTTCTTGATATGATAAGATCTTAATTCTAATTAAGTTTTTAAAATTCATAAACCCTAAATATCAGTACCACTTTCTCCTATCAGATTATGTAATTAAAATAGTTTTCATTGCCGCAAAACCATTTTTTATTCAAAACAAATTAATTATTTATATAGGATTTCTTCATAAAGTTTAAAGTAGATTTGGAATTCTCTAAATTTCTGTGTTAATTAAATCTTTATTAATTCTAAAAGATGTCTTATTTATTGTGATCACATTATGGAAGTAACTTATGATCATTTTTAAGTCCAATTATATCCGTTTATTGACTTTTCAAGAGTATCAATATAATAGAGTATTTTTTGCATCCATCAATTTAGTTTCTAAAATTTTCTTTATTGTCACTACTATATTTGATATTTAGTCAGATTGATGACTTTTATTACATTTCCATATGATTTCAGGTCTTTTAAATTTCACCATTTTATATAATTAATGATGAAATTGATTTTTTCCTATTTTAGTAATATATTTATTTGTGTAAATAAATTAAAAAATTTAATCTAAAAAAATATTTTTCATTCAAATAAATTTATAAATATCATATAAAAAGAAGCTTGAATAACTTTAAACAATCTAAAAAATTTTTATACTCTATAATCAACTTTAGAAATATGTTATTTTAACTTTCTTAAAACAAACTTGATTCTTTATTTATTTTAATTTAAGTTATGTAGTTTATTTGATGTTGATAATAAATAGATTTTTTTTGAATAGTAAATTCTGAAATAACTTATTATCATTTTTGCCTTTTTGATTTTGATTATATTATAAAATCTACATAAACCCAAAGTTTTTAATTATAGTAGATTAGATTTATCGAAATCCCTAAAATTTTATTATAGAGATATTACCTTTGTTACTATTGGCAATAATATTATTTTGATCTAGTGAAATCGATTAATAATAACAATATAATGCCTTATTATATTTTTTTTTATTATATAACACAAAACCTTTAATAATTAATATTATAAATACATTTTATATAATAAAAATAACCTTTTTTTTGGGGAAAATTATTATACATTAATCAGTAATTGTAGCAGCTTATTCATATTATCTTTTCGCAAGAATGATTACTCGCTTTTATAATATAACTATTAATTATTTTAATTTATGCTCTCATCCATAAGCATAAAAATGATTTTAATCTAGACCTAATATAGCATTACAAGATATCATAAAGTCTATATTTTTTCATCTTTAATGATAGCATCTCTTCTCTTGAATTTTAAGCTCGAAATATCACTCCTTTTAATTCTTAACCTTCTCTCTAATTCTTTTCGAGTTTATTCTTAAAAGTTATAAATTTAGAATTTCTCTCCATTTTAAAAGGTTTATAATTAATATCTAATTATATTAGGATTTGAAATCATAAAATAATCAAATAAAATAACACCTTATTTTAATTTATTTTACATTAATACTATGCTAAAGGATTTTGCATGTCTTCTTTTAAAACTTCTTCAAATTTTTCTAAAGTATTTCTGTATTCTTTCTTGTTTATTAATTCCATTCCTTCTAATGAACAAAAATTTACTATAATTAGTAATTAAAATTTGTATTATGATTTTAGTCATTATTTCAAATTAAATATATTATTGGAAAGTGAATTGGGTAAAAATGACTTAAAATAATAATTATAATACTCTTCTAGATAACAATAATTTTCCAAATAATAAACTCAATAGACTTAGTTCATAAGCTAGCTTACTTTAAGTCTTTTTATTAATCTATTATTAATTAAACCTTATTTAAACTAAACATACTAGGAATATTTATTTTTTTAAATCTGCAAAGTGTAGTATTTGAGGGAGCTCAAATTCCATAAAGTAATTCTTATTATCAGTAGATTATGTATTAATTAAGAAATCTATTCTATTTATTTATTATAGATACAGAGTTACAATGTATTAAAATGTTAAGGATTTAAAATATCATCCCTTAAATTTCAAAAATATTTTGAACTTCTTTATTGATTTTATAATAAGAAGGATAATTAGGTAAGGCCTATAAGAAGTATATTTAATGTATAAAAAAATTATTATTTTTAATGTTTTTTAGCTTTATTTTATCTATTCAAATTGACATTTGATTTCAAACTATTCATAATACTTATTAGTATTGTTATTAAGGTTTTCTCTTATATTTATGAGCAAAATTAATAAACTGCAGCTAATAATTAATTAATTTATTACTTAATTTTTGAAGCAATTTTATATATTTTTGACATTTGAACATATTATAATAATAAAATATAAATTGAACAGATAAAATTAACTTATATATAGTTTATTTTACAATAATTATTGTAAATTATCAATATATATTTATTAATCTCTTGATTTTAAGGGTAATAGTTAGAGAATTTATCATTAAAAAAAAAAAGAATATAAAATGATAAAATATTATTTAATTTATTATGAAAAATAGGTTCAAAGTAATCCTATAGCCACAGAATCAAGATTTATATTTGGAAGCTGACTAATCTATTTCAGTTGAGGAATTATTTGAATACATAAAGACCTCTTTAAAGTAATGTTATTTTATGAAGTAGAATTGATAATGATTTGAAAAATTGGAATTGTTATTCTAAATCAAAATGCATGTATTTAGATTTAAAGAGTGAACTAGAAAATGTCTAAAATGACAACTTAATCATCAATACTTAAAATTTTTCAAATACTCACACTGGAATGCATCAAGACTAATAATCAATAAATAATCAACATTTTCAAACTCCATAATAATAAATCAATAATCAATATTAATAAAAAAATAAAA